CCCCAAAACCCCAAAACCCCAAAACCCCAACGTGATAGTATTAATAAGATTATGACTTATGAAAAATTATAAAAATAAACTTAAAAATATGAGTTATAATAATTCGTCTCCAAATAGAAATCCACAGTATGACTAGTGGAGTAGCTAAAATTATCAGTAATTACCGAATCAGAGACAAGCCTTTCCTCAAGTTAACCAGCAAAACATCGCCCAAGGAATTCCTATGAATAGCAGCAAAAATGAAAACCCATTATAATGTAAGGTTGTGCCAATTATGTCAACTCCAAACCCTGACTAAAATATTCAGAGGTAACACGAATAGAATACTTTCAATAATAATTAAACCCCAAACAATTTCGATTAGGAAAACAAGCCACTGCTGAACAATAATAACCAGAATAATGTATACTAATAAATGCAGATGCAACAATAGTAGCAGTAGTAGAATCCATACCCCTCTCTTTACAGTCCATTCCAGTAAATCCCTAGCCAACCTCAATAAAATAATGCTCCATTTTATGCACCCTTCGATATTGAAATTAAAAAATAGAGTATTATCAACACTGCAAACTATAAGGTCAAAAGATCAGGTAAATGTCTACAATTCTGGTCGATAATCTTTATGTTCTTTAATACTCTAGCTCTGCTAATGAGTATCTACTACTTATTTACCTTAGATTCATGGCACTCCTTCACTTTATTAGATGACTCGGGTGTTTCTTATACTATTAGGTTGACATCAGGGGGGTTGTTAGTACTGCTTATAATTAAAACCGCTATAAATCTAGTTATTCTCAAAGCCTCAAAATCAACTTTTTAGTTAGTCACTCCAATTATGAGGGATATCAAGCAGTAAGAGCTGGCTTAAGTTATGCAAGCTTCTCCTTTTAATGCAAATAACTAAGAGGTTCAAACTCCAAATTACAAGCATTCTATTTCTATCGAGATATTTTAGAAAAAGTATCAAAAGCTGGCTATAATTTGTGTAGTTCTTTTGACAATTGGTTGTTTGATAGGAAGATTACTCTACATCGAAGCTGCTGAGAGATTTATTCATGATTACTACAAAGGACAAGGGATGAATAGATACAACCCTACTAGCTACAATGATAAACCTCACAGTGAGGAACACTAAGAAAAGCATCATCACAGATACTATTCAGAGCTCTCTATATTAGATGAGAATAATTTAGTCCCTCAAACAGCCGATTCTCATTCTGAATAAAAAGATGATTTACCTAATCTTGATAACCTATAACTATCTGAACTTCATCACAAAAGTGGTGAAAGAAATAAAGATCACGATTGTACTAGCAATGAGACATATGACTGTAACCATACTATTTGCAATGAGACAACAGAAAACTGCACTCATAACAAATCAAGTGGCCGCTCTCCGAATGAAAAATCTCATGACTCTGGCGACCACAGTGATAAAGATGGTAAAAAGTTGAAACTCAAGGGTATCAATAGGCTATACAAGGACGAAGAAGATGGATGCTATATTACCAATCTGAATAAGAAGACAACAACTGAATAGCAGGCTAAAGATCTAGCTAGAAACTATATCAACTCAGGCTCGATAGCTTACTTTGGCTGGATAATGTTCTTATTCCTAGTTTGTGGAGGAGGAATGTACTATGGACTAATAGTAGTTTGGAATAATCAGAAAATCAGAGAGTAATACTACGAGACAATTGTTGAAAACTAAAGTGTCATGTAGGTATAATAGCTAGGCTACTATGCACCAGGACCTAATCCATATCTCAACAGTCAATCTGCACCAGTTCAATTCAATGGCTCACAGCAGCAATGAATGCTATTAATGCTAGAATATATAAAACTATAATTCATTCAATTCAAAAATTTCACTTTTAATGTCAAGGCGGGGTTTTGGGGTTTTGGGGTTTTGGGGTTTTGGGG